GTTTGAAAAGTTGCAGGACCCATGAAAGATGTTATTGATATTGATTGTTTGACTTTGACTTATATTAAAATCAAATTGAAATATGTACCAAACATGCCCTAAATATATGCTACAAATATAATAATGAGCTTAAATTTTGTAATAAATTTGAAAAAATTAAAATCAAAACTGAAAATTAAAAAAGAAAATTGAACAAGCCTACCTGGATAACGAAAGTTGAGTTGGCCAGTTAAATACTTCCAAATATGAATTTAATTGCCAAGTCAGCTCCAAATCATCACTGCCATACCTCCAAAGTCACCACCTTCAAACACATCTAACAAATCCACCACCATACCTCCAAAGTCAAATAGGCGAGAAGATATAAAATCCGCCGCTGCCATTGGATGAACACCTCAAATCACAACCTGCCTCAAATCACCAACAGCCACATCGCACCAACAATCACCACTTTATACCACCAACTGTGAATCTAACCAACTCATCGCACAAAACGTCGTGGCCCTGCATTGTCGCTTGCTTTTAGAGAGAGAAATGAGAGCGGTGGCCCTCGCGTCGCCGACGTATGATGGGAGATCTGTGCGCGCCTGTGCTGCCTGGAGGTTGGGCCGCCGGCAGAGAGGGAGGAGAGCGGCGTCACTGGTGAGGGTTGGTAGAGAGAGTAAGAAGAGAGTAGTGAGTGAAAATGAATTAGGGAGAGGGAGCAGCCGGACCGAGAGGATGCCTTCCACTTGTTTACGGCAGGTGCCAGCGGCGGCCTTCTACTTGTTGACGATGGAGTCACCGAAGGGCTAGGAGGGAGCTGTCGGAGAGAGAGGAGAATAGGCCGAAGGGAGATGAGGAAGCTGCCGAGAGGGGAGGAAGAAAGAGAAGGAATGTGTGATAGTTGATTTGGGATTTTAGGGTTTGGTTTAGAGAGAGAACGTGTTCGGGGGGAAATAAGGTGGGTGCGGTTGATTTCTAAATTAATTGAATTTAGTAATAATATATTAATTAAAAAATCTGATTTTTGAAAGGTTAAACTTCCCACGTGATTTTAGAATGTTGAATACTTAAAGTAGGGATTGGTGTAATTACCACTTTAAATAAAGTAGTAGTCCAACAATACTTCAACCTAATAATTAGCCCACAAAATTGTAGCCCAATAATATGTCCAATACACTAAAAACAGCCCAAACCAATCACCCCACAAAAGAAATCAGATTGCTGTCCAAACAAATTTAACCCAAAATCAGCCCACACACAGAATCAGGCCCACTTCAAACTTTCTCCTACAATAGTTAAAAATGTTTCAAGCATCCAAACATCAAATTATGCGATACTTTCTAAAAAGTATTATTCCAAAAAGTATTTAGCTTATTCTTGGATATGCAAAAATATTTACCAACGGATTAAAGCAAGCATAAACGAACCAAGAAAAGAAAAAAAGTAAACGTAGAAATTACTTGTCTAAAATTGAAATTGGTCTGTAATTGATAAACACAAAGAATTTAATGAAACCAAAAAAAAAAAGTAACGAGACAAGATAAAAGAATAGCATAATCCACTTTTTGCAATCTGATCTTTCCCACTTTCACCTTGTCCATAGAGGTGGCAAAATGGATGGGTTAGGCTCGTTGAAGGTTTGAATATGCATATTTAGTTTTATGGTTCGAATTAAGACTAGACCATCTTCAAAATCTTAGGAAAGAACCTGTCCTTGGACCTGCCGGTCCAACCCATGTTACATGCATCTATCTCTGGAATCAGGCTAGGGTGTAAACTTGGATCAAGCCGTCTAAAGCCATGGGGGCTTGTGAGGACTTTTTCTATTTTGTCCAAACCAGGCCACTTTATGCCACAAGAGCTCAATGCAGTGCTTAAACCGATCAGTAACACCACTTAAGTTAAATATTTCATGTTTAAGAATAATTTTAAATGAATAAACATGGAACACAAACACTCTACCCCCATCCATACTCCTCTAATAGCTTAGGCATTAAATTTAAATTTAAAAATGTGTCTACCCATTTAATAATTTAAATTTTTAAATGAAGTAGTTGAATGAGCGCTATCTTATTCAGAACCTACAAAGATGCAATTGAACGCCGAAACTCACGGTGAATCGTCAGAAAATATTCATGCATGTTATTAATAAACTTGACATCAGGTATTTCCTTGTCATTGCTCCACCTAATTTCAGAACGATTCCAACTCCTTTAAATTTTGGGGAGGGGGCATGTGCCTAATTAATGTACATCATGACCACAGGTTGATAGGAATAATTAAATATCTCATAAATGATTGTATCTATTGTCTGTGTTATTGAATTGTCATGTGGACATTAAAGTAGGGGTCCCTAGAAAGAAAGAAACAAGAACAAAATATGAATAATTCAATACTGATTTAGTTAATTAATGTCCGAGTGTTTATGTCACATTATTGTGATATCTGGCCTCAATTTCTATTGATGATGAATCTTCTATTTTTGAGACTTTAGAACCGATTAAAACGTTTTGAATAATGTGGCATAAATTTTCTGAGATGATATGCTTATTTTCGGTAACATTATGGTAAAAGAGAGATGATATCCTTTTCTAGTTTCTAACTTGACTATAATGGTATATACATTTAATTCATATAAATTATGTGTCGTCGAAATAGTTAATGTGTCACGTCTAGAATCGAGTCTCATAGGTCATATATTCACATATGGAGGTAATTGATGCTACTAGGCATTCCTCAAGACAAAGGCTAGCTCACTGAAGTTTGGCCAGAGTAAAACCAAATCTTGTAGTATATCCTATGAATTAATCTAGATGTATGTACATTTTTAGATGACAATGTTGTTGACATCATGTGAGTTATCAAAATTTATACCATTGATTGTTAAAAATAAATATATAAAAAATTCTCAATTCACAAGAATATTATCAATGCTGTCAAAGTTAATATACATATAACAAGATTGATAACCTTTAGGAGCAAGACTTTTGGTCGTCCAATAAACTATATTTTTTATGTCAAACTTGATGCTCTAAAAAGATGACATATATTTATATTTAGTATTGAAAACCTAGATATACTTTTGTCCTACAAAAAAAGAAATAAAAAGTTAGTAATAATCAACATGTGGTACTGCACTAATTGAGAACATGCTCAATCAAGGGGGAACTTTTCTTTGCCTAAGCAATCTTGAGTTTCCAAAATAGTAATGCTAGCTTAATGAATGGAATTAGCATGAACACTATATAATTTGTATATGGATGTACATCATCAAGTTGTTATTACTAATAATAACCTTAACAAACCAGTAGAATACACTATTAACTCGATTGTCAAAATGTCAATAATTAAACGCAATAACAATATTAAGTTCCTTCTAACAAAAAAAAAGATAATGTCACGTTCAACTAGTCTATAAAGCTATCCAAATAAATAATTAGTGTAGACCAAGAAAGTTCTGATTTTCCACCTTTCGTTTCATGACTTGAGGGTTTACAGACAACCCGCATCCGCCGGGTTCAAATTTGTCTGGACATTCGTAAAATATAAACATCATCAAACAATGATTAGAATTATAGTTTGTGGACGAGGGGTGCTAATATTTTAGTTTCTTAATCTGTCATCCTTAAATAATTCTAAAAACTATTAGTCTTGATTGTGGTATTCTCCTGTCTAAATTTTAATATATGAAAAAAACTAACTGATGCATGTGGGCAGATACTACAAAGACATCCTTTTTCAACAGTTGATTAGAAATTAGTAATAAGAAATACAACTCAGTCTAAGCATCCTTTCACAATCTGTCCTAAGTTCAGATAAAGAATAAGTTACGGCGGAGTAATTTAGTTGAGCGATATATACATACACTGATAAAAGAGTGTTCTGACTATTTTCATTAATAGTTGAAATTGATATAAAGGACGAACTGCGCATATAAACTTACAGGTGGCGGATTGTAACTCCGACCATAGGATTAGGGCTTCTTGAGCTGTCTCTTTCTATTTCACTAGCACGAAAGAATCATCTATTCTTCAATATTTAATGAATTAGTTGAATGTGAATGGGGATCGGCCCCTCATTTTTAAGCTCAGAAAATCAATCCTTTCTATTCATTTCAGTACCACATGGCATCTTTGAGAAAACAGGATTGGGTTGGAATTTTCGGAATCTTACTGTCTATTGCCTGTAGAAACTCGAATTCGTCTAGAGATAGGTTAATAACTTGTTGATCGCTGTCCATTTACGCCTCTCCTTCTACAGTTCTACCGGCTATTTAAATTAACAGAAAATCAAAAGAACAAGGTTGACACTTAGTAACAGCTAATCATGAAGCTGTACTTGACTAATGAGTTGGGTTCTTTGAGAAAAATGTACCACGCGAAAAATAAATTTTATCAAAGGTAAGTGGATTTTGCTACTTGTATATAAAAAATTGTATATAATGGATTACATACTATGATGTAGAGGAAAAGATTTGATTGTGTTTTAAATTTGCGAGTAATAGAGTGTCATGTAACATTATATAATTCATTATGTAAATTTTGATGTACATATAAAAAGCTAATTTCCTATGTTATATTCTTTTTTAGTTTACCCTTCTTCATACCATCAATAGCCTTCATAAATTGAAGTTTCTCTCTCTATCAATCAATGACCACACACCTTTCCAAACAGAATAGTAGTAGCATTTTACTCTTCCAATATTTTTTCCTCTCACCAGAATTTTATGACGTGAAATTGGTTTTAATGCAAATATTTTATCATAAGAAGTTGCCATAAATTAAGATTTACATGCATTTATATGCTGCCCAACTGTGCCTATGGCTAGTCCAAGGAAGGCAACAATTAGCCTAAATATGTTGTTTTTGTACTAAATCAAGAAACTAAATATGGAACAAGAATCCCTTACTTTCATTGTTTTTTTCTTCCGGTTCTGATGCTTTAAATTTGGGGTCGACTATATAAATCCATTTCAGAATTTGAAGAGAAGAAGGTTGTAAGCAAAGAGAATAGAGATGCCGGCAGTTTGGTTTGCTTTGAAGAGATCTTTGCAATGCAAATCAGAGCCAATGGATGTTTATGACCCAAAGGGGATTGGGAATCCGGGCCATATATTGACCAGAAAATCAGGCAGCGGTCGGTCAGGATGTTCTAGGTCTATTGCAAATCTGAAAGATGTAATTCATGGAAGCAAGAGACATACAGAAAAGCCACAAATTTGTAGTCCAAGATCCATTGGAAGTAGTGAATTTTTGAATCCAATAACACATGAAGTGGTGTTAAGTAATTCAACTTGTGAAATAAAGATAACTGCTGGATATGGTTTCCAAGAAGGTGGTGGCAGCAGCAGTGGTGGCGACAATGGTGGTTCGACGTTTGTGGGAGTGCTAAAGCCGGGGACTCCGGGTCCGGGGCGACTGACGAGAAATAAGCCTAGAGGATTGGCTAGTCCTATAAGGAGGACATCTAGTAGCCTTTCGAGGACATCTGGATTTGGGGTAATTCCCACAAGGCCTAGGGTCTCTTTTGGTGCAAATTCTAATGGAGCTTTATTTTGCCATAAATGTGGTGAGCAATTTGGTAAATGGGACGCCGTTGAAGAACATCACCTCTCCAAACATGCCGGTAACTTTTGCCTTCATGCTTTCGTTGCATAAGATTAATAATGTAGTCGACCCAAATTTATTGGAAAAACGAATTGCATCTAGTAATCTTTCTTTTACTTTTTTTCTTGCACATGATTTCTCCAGTCACAATTTTGTTGCGTTAAGGACTGAATGTTGCCAAAAGTCTCCTCTCTCTTTATAATTGATCTATTTTGAATGTAATTAAAAAGAAAAGTTTGGAATTTATTTTTTAAAATACTTGATATATTCTAATTTCAAAATTTTGGTGCAGTTACTGAACTTGTTGAAGGAGAGTCCTCAAGAAAAATAGTCGAAATAATTTGCCGGACGAGCTGCACAAAGCCAGACAGTAATTGTGGTGGAATTGAGAGGATTTTGAAGGTCCACAACATGCAGAAAACACTAGCACAATTCGAGGATTACAGAGAATTAGTTAAGATCAAAGCAAGCAAACTTCCCAAGAAACATCCTCGTTGTCTAGCCGATGGTAATGAGCTTTTAAGGTTCTATGGAGCAACTTTCGAATGCAATCTAGGCATAGATGGCTCCTCTAGCCTTTGTACAGCAGATAAATGTCATGTTTGTCGAATTCTGAGACATGGGTTTTCGTTGAAAAAAGGACGAAATGGTGGTAATGTTGGAGTATTCACAGCTTCGACAAGTAGTAGAGCATTTGAATCAATCCAAGTATATGATGAAAATCCTTCTATAAGAAAAGCTCTAATAGTGTGCAGAGTTATAGCAGGCAGAGTTCATAGACCATTAGAAAATGTTCAAGAACTGGCAGGTCAATCGGGATTTGATTCATTGGCTGGGAAATTAGGTCTCCATTCAAATATTGAAGAACTCTATTTGCTCAGTTCCAGAGCTCTCCTTCCTTGCTTTGTGGTAATTTACAAAACCATAAGTCCATATGGACGATATTTGCCAACCTAAATTACCAAATAAGCTGTAAAAGAAAGGGTGAGTGCTCAAGTCATATTTAAGTAATCAAGTATTCTGAATTCAACTATTATTTCCAGCTATCTACTATTTTTTTGTTTAGATTTTGTAGACTTCTGTTTATAAAAGTCATTTTTTTCATGCTACTTTTCTTTTTTAAGTGGAAATTGTGGATTATTTTGTCAAAATAACAAATGAATGTACTGTCATTGTGTATACTCTTCTTGCTGACAATTTTCTACTCGCTTCTTGGGAGACATAAATAGGGACTTTGCATTTAATCCCCAACTTGACTACTCGTCAGAGAAAAGTAAATCTCATCCGACTTTGCATGCTGCATTGATTCTGACATGTGATGGGGATTAGGCATGTTTTGGATCTAATAATTTGACCTGATTATCCGCCTTCGATTAACATGGTAAGTGGATCAAAGGAGGTTTTTGTATTGAAGTAACGGAGCAATTGACACTAAGTGAATGGAAGGAGGTTTTTGGAAATGAAATGTAGAAATAATAGTGAAAATGTCAAAAAATGAAACACGTGGAAAAATATGTATGTACTAGTAATTGGAATTGTTTCATATGTAATGTGTTACCGTGCTTATGCTTGAGTTCTTTTTTTTCAAAATTCATTTTCAACCACATATTCTCATAAAATAATTTTACTCGTTAACCCAAAAAATTTCGCTATTTTTAGCCACACATTCTCTTTAAAAAATCACTATTTTAAAATCTATTTTCTCTCGTAAAATTGGGTTCAAACAAGGGTTATATATTGTACGAGTAGTGTGTATTTATGAATAATTAAGGGGTATAGTTTGATCATTAAAAAAAACATAGGTAAAATGAGAAATCAAATGATTTTCACTTGTCTTTACTTCCAATTTATAAGAAAACAAATTGTTTACCAGGCATGTTCTAGGTTGACCATGTAACAAGACATAGCAATTATATATTGGGATCCAACAAATTGTGGACCAAAATCTATAAGTCCAGCTCAGAAGTGATATAAGTTGGGAATTTTCAGCTCAGAAGTGATATAAGTTGGGAATTTTCAGCATATTTGACTTATAAGCTGGACTTATCCATTTTGATTTGTACAATTTATGAGATCTCGGCTTATAAGAGAGCAACTTTTTTTTTTTTTTATCGATCATGCTCCTAGGTGAACAAATAAAGATGTTACTGCAATGTAGAGAGTTGTAAAGCACGGAAGGTCACGTCCTTATTTTGCCGCGTTGGAGTGACTATTAAAAATTTTGAATTGACCATTTAACTAGTAATGGTCGCATAACATAATGCCTCTTGTACAAAAGCTAGTTCACAAATTCTCTACAGAAATTTAAAATTGACTGAATTGACATGGCTTTTGATGTAGAACATATTGTTGAAGAATTGAATAAAAATGGGGAAAAATAATAGTGCAGAGAGAATGTTCAAATTTCGATTTGGGATCATAATAGTATTCCTAAAAGAGGATGAGAATACGAGCAATACTCATTACTATGCCATAATGTACAATGAATTTTGGCCATCCAAGTTCATTTAGGACTCAAGAAACTAATTTTAAAATTTTTTTTGCTATTTTTGTCATTTATTTTATTTCGATTTTTTATTTTTTTATTTTTTGGAACAATACATAAATTAGGTTTTTAACTATCACCATTTCAAAATTAAGGATAGATGTTTTAAATTTCAAAAATCAAGTTTACATTAAAATTTATTTATGAATTAAATAATTATAAAGGTCACAGATGCATGCAATTTGGTTACAATTCAAAAATTTTAAGGTCACAATTCAAAAATTTTTAAGGTCACAATTCAAAAAAATTATAGGTCACAGTTCATTCATCGGTCACAAATTAAAAATTTAAAAGTCACAATTTGTTTATCGATCACAAATCACAACATTTATAAGTCACACAACTTATTTTATGGTCACAAAACAACAAATTATAGGCCACAAATTACTTTTATTAGTCACAAATTAATAAATTTGTAGGTCACAGGATATTTATTGATCACAATTTATTCTTCATTGGTCACACACCAACCAATTTATTGATCACAATCAACAAATCATTTGTGACACCACCAACACAACACCACATAAACGCACCACCGCTGCCAATACCAATACCACTACCACTTCCCAGCAACAAAATCATTGTTTCAAACATCGTAGTCAACGTTTTCACCACCACCACCACCACCCAAACACCACTAAAACCATCGGACCACCACACCACTACTATTGCCAACACTCATCCAACAACAACAAAAAATCATCTCGGCCACTACTGGTGCGATCTGCAGGGTCCTCATAGCTTCATCGTCCCTCACGTCGCAGACCACACCGCAATTGTTGTCACCACCATCTCCACCACACTACACCGCAACCACCAACCCCACTAAAAGATTCCCAATCCGCCCCTGCCACCACGAATCACACAAATCCACACATCACAACCACAAATAGAGCTGTCCGTGGGTCGGTTCGGTTTGGTTTGGTTCTGAAGAGACTCAAACCGGCCCAAAACTTCCGAATATTTAATAAATAGACCTGTCGAGTCCAAATATAATTATGAAACCGTTCGGGTTCAGTTCCGTTCGGTTCGGTTCGGTTCGGTTCCGTATCATAATTAATTTTTTTAATATTTACAGTAACACTACATAAATACAACCAATGACATTTCATTCGTAACTTTTACAAATTAACGTAGCCCAATTCAAAAACATATAAATAACTAACAGTCCAATAAGATTAATTCAATGCATATAAATACCAAAAAATAGATATTAATATTACAACAACACTACATAAAGTATATTCATTTGCTTCAAATTAAAATGGGCTAATAGGTTTTAAAAATGATTTGGGTTTTAAAATTAAAATTATGAAATAATCTGATTTATTTAATTAATTTGCTAATTTGTTTAGAAAAAATAAAATAATTTAATTAATTCAATATAAAAAATAAAAAAATTATTTAGTTTCGGTTCTTGGTCTAGTCCCGAGACCCGACCCAAACACATCGGTTCTCGATTCGGGTACCCGTTCGGGTATTTAATTTATGAAGAACTGCTCGATTCTGTTCGGTTCCGGTCCGGTTCGGTTCGAGACTTTTGGACACCCCTAACCACAAATCCACGAATCACACCAAGAGAGATTACAATCCATGCCCATTTGCCTCTTAAACCAAGAACTCAAGCTCTCTGTCTCTGGAAGAACAGAATCGTTCAAGTTCATTAAAGAACCCGACCCCGAACATATACCCACGGAAATCGAGTTCGCCTCAACCTGGTCGTGAGCTTGAATCATTACATTAGTGACCAAGTTGCTAGTGGTAGTGTTATCGGCGGCGGCGGTGGAGATGGTGTGGGAGCGTTTGTGGAAGGAGGCTAATTTTCGGGTACCACCGCCAACGGGGATGTTGCTCAACGAGCAGGGAGATGAGAGAGTGAATAGGGAAGGAGAGATTAGGGTTTGTAATATTATTATAATTAATAAAATATTAATTTATAATGAAACTTTCAACCTGATTTTTGAATATTGATTTTGAAAAGTAGGATTTTGTGTAATTTTCCCCTTTTTTTAAGCTTGTTTAAACTAGGTTTTCATTAATTTTAGTCCTATTAAATTAGGTTTTCATGTAAATCCTTATAACTGAAGGGTTGTGTCATTGTTTTTTATTATCTTTTATTAATAAAATTCATGAGTTTAATTTTTCATATTTTGGTGGATTCCAAAATTCGTATTTTTAAGGTTTTAACTTGAATTTCTTGTTTCACGATGTATCAAGTGGTATCAGATCCAACTTTATTCCAACTATGTGAATAGTATTCCTAATTAATGTTATGAGGAAAAATAATAGTAGTGTAGAGAGAACATTCGAATTTCAATTTGAGCTCATAATAGTATTCCTAAAAGAGAGACGACTATATGAATAATACACATAGCTATGCTATGATGTACAGTGAATTTCGACCATCCGAGTTCGTTTGGTACTCAAAAATTAATGTTTAAAGATTTAGCGCTATTTTTGTCATTTAGTTTATTTCGAATCCTTTTAAATGTTATTTTGTTTAAACTATGTTTTCATTAATTTTAATCATATTAAATTAGGTTTTCATGTAAACCCTTATAAATAAAAGCTTATAGTATTTTATTATTATCTTTTATTAATAAAATTCGTGAGTTTAATTTTTCATAATTTTGTGGATTCCAAAATTTTTATTCTTAAGATTTTTGTTTGAATTCCCTAATTCGCGCCGCCAACATTTGTGTTTGGAAAATTGGAAAACAAGAAGATGAAGTGAAATGGAATTCACATACCACATTTCCCCCGCTCCCCTAGCCACTGTAATTGCCCCCGTCCAATCCTCTCTCCTCGGATTTGAAGTCGCAAAATCGACTGCCAACTAAGGAGAAATTAATGATTGTTTTGATCACGCTTAAAAGTTGTTTTGAGTAAGAAGTCGGCAAGCTATAATTTTTGCCCAAGACCTACAATTTCTTTATATATTTACCATTTGGAACTACACACCCTTCTCTCCCAAATGCCAGTTCCCTTTTCTCTGTTTAAGTTTTGTGAGTATTGGTCCTCCTAACACTATAGGGTTGGTGTTATTTATGTCATTTGTCTTATGACTTATATTTGGACCATTAGTTGCCTAGGTGTCACTTACC